TACGCTCAGACTACTCCATCTCCATTGTAAAAGCCAAATTAACTTTTCCCCCTCACATCTCTTTCCCTCCGATCTCACATCCTGCTGTCAAATGCCAAGGCCTTCAAACACCCGCTTGTTTGTTCACAGAGCACCTCGACTCCTGCCCCCCCCTAAATACTACTTCACTGTTCATCTCTTCAGTTCTTTTTTCTCTCTCCTCTCCCCGCCATCTTCCTTCTCTTCCTGTTTTCTCCTCTCTGTTTGACCTGCATGTAAATGTTCCTTGCGATCCTTGACGGACAGATATCAGATGAACAGATACAATGAAGACAATCACCAAATAAATAAGCAAATGCAGAAAGAAATCACAAGAAAACTCAACTTTCTCATAAAGGATGAAGGATAAAGGATCTCACTGCAGGATGTTTGAGACTACAGTGCTGCCTTGTTCAATTCAATTAATATGCAGATTGGACAGAGTTGGGCCCACAGATCCATGATCATTCTATCTGACCAGCAATCTTTACATCTCCTTCAACAGGTCACTGATTAGAGATATAGTCCATACTCTGCTTTAGGTTATTAGGGAAGTGGCGTGGTACCCACAGAAAATTATCATCCAATTCTATGGAGCATTTTCACCTTTTTTGAATGTTTCCAGACGCAGCAGGGACAAAGCTCCAATAAGCACACTGTTCATTACTTGCCCAGCACCAAGCAGCATACAGACACAATTAGCAACTAGCTGGTGAACATATTGGAGCAGTTAGCAGCAAAAGACAGATATTTCGCCCAGCAGCTGGTGGAGACCAAAACAGAGCTACAAGGAGAGTGAATATCGGACATATATTCTGTTTGAGTGTCCTTTTCAATTATTTGAGCCCAAATAACTAATTATATCCAGCCCAGGCAGACACCCCATTTACAGATCAGTTTTAAGATTTTGAGCTATTTTCTACTACTTTGTCTATTTGCGTTTGTAGATTTCTTTTCAATTCCTCCAAAGTTATCATTAAATAATGCATAATTTGCAGATATATTCATATATCCTTTATATCCTCATTTATAGAACATTTTATTCCTAAAACCATGGACAACATTTTTTGTATGGCTGTATGACAGTATTTTCGGATTAATCAAGTGATCAAAAGAGATATTAAAAATGTCCTCCGTAGAAACTTTATAAAATTGGATTTGTATTTGATATTTGTTTGCAGATATGCACATAGATAAAAGAGAGTTTGTAGTTTGAACATTCTGTAAGAGAATTTAAAAGCCAAACATGGCTTGTAAATATCCCTCCCCTATTAACACTGTCTCAATGTCAGTATTGACTGAGAAAATTTCATAGTGATATCTATTAGATAAATGGTTTCCTCTTTTCACCTGATGTGTCTCCCATTAAGGCTGGAAGTATCTCAGCAGGTATCTTAATCCCAGCAAACCCTATCGCTCATGCCATCTATTTATTTGAGCAAAGGGATGACATCATTTCATCAGGTGTGTCCCATTGTGCTCAGAAATCCTTCCTCTACTCATTAACAGTCTTAATGGGCACTTGGGCACAGTCGTTTGTCACACTGCTAGGCACCTGAATTGTGCACCCGCAACTACCACAAAGGTGGTACAGGGAGAGACCAACAGTCTGTTACCCAAATCTGGATTTTCTGGCTCCCGCAACTGACACAGGTAAACCCAAGTGTTTATGTTAAAGATGAGTTCAGTGATAAGTGAATTCCATTGGCCTCAGTTACAGTTGCAGGTCAACAACACCTCAGTGGCTGTTGACATTCCAATAAAGTGCTGCACGGATGACGTATTTTTGTAGGCCAACCCAGAAGTTAGCATTTCACTTGTACTCTTGACAAAAAGCCAATGGGATTGTTTCCAATGGAGTTTGGATTATTTCCGAAAATAAGCTCTGTGGCAATCTCAAGTTTATTATATTTAGAAACTTTGTTCAGCAAGATAATCTTGAACAGCACTTTTTAGATTTTTGAAGCGTGAATGCAATCAATAGAGTTAAATAGCTAACCTTAGGATATTAACAAACTACACCACGGTTTCTAGTCTCACTTCGACACTTGTTAACAACCGTCTATTTTAAGACACGTAAAACCTTAATATCAACAATGTATTTTGTATAGTAGAAAAAAACATTAAAATCTTTTAAGTTTGTGTTAACACCATTCAAGCATCTAATCAAAAACACCAAATCCAAAAAATCCATTGACTTTGAGACAAAGAAACCAGAAATGCAAAAATGTTAACTCATTTCTGGGTTTGAGGCAAAGTGGACGTAGTCGTGGTGACCATAAGTTAAATGTTAAGGATTTGCCACTTTGAACCACAATGAGAACAAAACTTATTTAGAGTACTGTTATAAGAGTACTCGTTTATTCCTTGCCTTCTCAGTCGTTAGCTATTGCTGCTCCTAATGCTGAATGGCCAGTACTGTTTTGTTTGTTCCAACTAAATGAGTGTTGCTGCTCCTCTCAAGAATTCTTGAAGCAATGTGAAACAAATCACTTCTCATACAGCAGAGGGATGATCTGCCATTTGAGAGAATGCAAGTTTAAGCCACTTCCAAATTGGTATCACTTTTCAGAACCACAGATTGCCGCCTGGTGTTAGGACTCACTCCTGATTGGAGGCTTGTTGTTCAAAGCACAGCCTACAATGTGAGTACTGAAAGCAAGAAATCTCTAGGCAATAGGGAAGTCAGTGGTATTGAAAAAATAGACCCTACAAAAACCCAGCAAATATATAAAGATTATGCCATTTTTTAGCCACAGGATGGTGAAAATTACAGCAATTAGCCCTTTAACCTCAGTTAGGAGTTTATATGTAGAACGCTGCTCTCGAAGAAGTGTTTAAGAACAGAGCGACCGGTGTGGAGGCTGAACAGATGCCCTCTGTTCCTCCGAGGCAGCTGGGCTGGCTTTGAGCCTGGCCCAAATAATGCAAAATGAAACACAACCCGGGGTGACGCTCACACACCCACACACCCACATACACACACACAGACGCTACGATTTGCACACTCAAATGCACAGACTGTCAGTCACACACATTTGGAAATTAACATGCACATGTGTGCAGAGATGCAAACAAACACAAGGGCAGAGTTGCGCCCACACACTCCTACTCACACATACACACACACACACACACACACACACACACACACACACACACACACA